TATAGCATATGTATAATAGATACTTGACTATACAAGAAAGATATACATATATTGTATAAATATGATATATAATATCAATAATGCTGGTTCTGATAGAAGTGTCAGAACACACAGAGCATCACAGTTTGTTGGTCCGGGGCTGCATAGCATTATAACCACCAGGGTGCCGAGGTGGTCATAATGTTATTGCTGATCGGTGTATATTATTTCATAATTAATTGTTCACATTTCCAATATTGTCATCAGTGGCATTGGCCCCTAAATACTGTATCAGATTGAATTATTTAGAAATGTATTGACTGAAAAGTGGCCAAAAACATTCCTCCTCTACAGGCAAACTGAACAAGTAGGACGCTTAACTTTGATGAGGATGACACAGAGTCAGTGGTGTCTGAGTCATCTCTGTGGCTGACAGGCTTTGTTCTGTCTCTATGCTGGGGTTGGCAGGCAAAAGTCTGCTTACCACCAACCAGCATTGTGGTATGATCACAATGCCTTTACAGCCAAAGAGAGAGCCAAAATATAGTCAATAATGTCAGCCAAGACAGTCAAGTATTCTTATCCTGACAGAGAAAATAAAGATGTAAAACAAAGACAAGGAGACAAACTAATTCAGGTCTATCTCATATATTATAGCAGTATGTTACTGTTAAAGGAACTGGATGCATCTGAACTTTGTTTTTGTGTTATCCTTATGAGAGACAAGTGTTATCTTGACTGAAGCTATAGCACAGCTCGTTACATTGTTAGAGTGGAAAATCAGCTCTGCCCTCAGATGGCAGGGTCTCCTAGCTGTGAAATTCCTGCCACTTAGTGCAGATATTTATAGAAACTCTTCATTGGAGCTGTGATAAAGACTGATATGACACATTACCACAGCATGCACCAACACTGCACATTTAACAAAACTGCCCACTAACACTTCATCTGTTGACGCCACAGATTTGATGCAAAGTCCGGTTTTGGAAGCATATCGAGAAAACAGTTCAAATGAGCAGTCCATGTAATTGAATATAGATAATCATGATTCCTATAAGGTGTCTGCACAGTGTTAGTCAAAAAGAAAGGTGAACATGGTCAGCAGCTAGTTAGCTTAGCACAGCGTGCAGACTGGAAACAGGGGGAAACAGCTGGCTCTGTTTAAAGCCAATAAAACCTAATTTTACACTTACACACTACGGATTAAACAAATAATATTTAACATATCAACTAGCTGTTTGCCCTTGTTTCCACTAGCATCATATACAGTATATCATACAGACATGAGAGTGGTATCAATCGATCTTATGTCAAGAAAGCGTATTTCCTAACTTGTAAAACAATTTACATTTCTCAAATTTCTCAGCTGATGAAATTTGCAGTCTGGCTACTGTATGAGCCTAACGTCAGCACAATAAATCAGCTTTTCTCTTCATAATGAAAGGAAGTGTGTGTGGTTTTAACACTACATTCTTGTTCCCATGCCTCAGAAGTCATAATTACAACGTTTTTCATGTTTCTCAGTCATGACCACTGACTCATTCCTCTCAATCTCTTTGCCGCCATTATCATATTTCTTGAAAAGCATGAATGAATGCCTGAAAAACATTTTTTTTTTATGGCCTGCATTTCAAACTGACTTAGCATTGTCAATTTCTAGGTGGAAGTCCCAGATCATCTACGATAATGCAAGCAGAAAAAAAAAGGTCTATTCGTTACCACAGAAATTGGGGAGTCTGCATCACGATGACGATGGAGTGACCAACACTGACGAATGCGCTCAACGAAAACGTGTTGGGAATCATAAGTTGGCAAAAACTGAATCCTTACTCATCAAAAAGAAAATATACTGGAAATTTGCACTGCAGTAAGAGCTAAAGGTTGTTTTTTAAAAAGTATTTATGCATAATGTTTACTGATAAGTTTTGTAATTCACTGTTTTCTTGTAAAATTGTAAATATAATCTGTTGTTGGTTGAATTATGCGTTGATTTATAAATATAACCTCTTGGTGTTTACAATAGCGCTTATCTATGTAGACTGTTTTCTCATTCTCTGGTTACTGGATGACTTCCAGTTGAAAGAAAAGGGTCAAGTTGTTATAGGAAGCACACACAGGCATCGTTTTTATCAGTGAGTCAGCTTACTGGTCAAGCACCGCTGATGCATATTCCCACTCCGACGCTCTCACAATACACCCACTGCAGTCAGCACGCATTGGAGCAGGGCTTTTACGCACATTGTTTGAGCAACTCACAATGCATGACAAGTGAGGGGAAAGAATAGACACACATTAGTGTCACTGACATCATTGAGGAGATTTTTGAACAAAGATCATAAGATTATGTAAAAAAAAAAAAAAAAAAGAAGATGTGGGCTACTTAAAAGCTGCACTACACAGTGTCTTTAAAGCCAGATTCTTCCTTTTAGAAATGGAAAGTTGAGTTCATACACAGGAGTGTTACATATTCTTGCTTTTAATACAAAAAAAAATATTTCTCCATCACCAAAAACCAGGTTAAAATTTCACGTTGAATGTCCGGTACCATTGAAAACTACTCTTGACGTATTCTGGGTCTGTGGGCATTACATTAGATGGACAAGAATGAAGGATTTAGCCCATCAAGAGATGCGGATGCTCTGTCTGAGAGATACATATGGCCATGATAGAAAGAGTGGGGGAAGAGAATGAGTGAGGGAGATGATGAATCAAACAGAGAGAGAGAGGTGACAGATTGAGAAGGGGAGGCCAAGACCATGTGAGAGGGAGGATGATGATGACAGATTGAGAGAGTGAAAGCAAGAGCCTGAGCGATGTGAGCTATTAGGATCGGGTCATCCTAATCCTGGTCCTGCATTTGTGTGTCTTGGAAAAGATCTCGTGACTCCTAAATCCACAGTGCACCTGTTCAAAGACAACGCAGTCAGGGCCACGGGTGGGGTTGGCAACAACAACAAAACTACAAATGATATTATGGCACACCATTTCCCAAAGTATACCAGGAGTTTTTAAAGAAAGCAAGAAAGATTAAAATCGTCCCAGACTGGCATTGAAAAACTGGCAATTATTACATTAAATTGTAGTACTTCAAGTAGTATTTAGAGGGAAATCCAACCTTAAACAAGACTTGGGCAGAATTGAGTTAAGCTTCTATGCAGGATACACTCCCCCATCTCCACAATGGCCTTCCCGAGTACAGCAGCTCAGTATGCACAATGCATTCCTTAAGCTAAGTGTCCTATGAATAAAACTTCCTCTACTCAAGTACAGCACTTCGTCATACGTGTCAAACTGCCAATAGGATCCTTCCATAAAGATCATCCATAAAATGCAGTCACTTCCTGCTTGTAAATGAGGCCTCTGCACCACTCAGGGTGGTCACTACATCACCCTCATATAGAATTTTAAATTATTTTCAGGACGGACAGAGGTTTTCATGCACCATGGGGAAATGTAACACTAGTCTCTGAACCACAACAAAGTAGCGAGTGTGCATGTGTTCCTTTAATGCTGAGCTACAGAATCTCCCACAACACTCAGGCCCTTTGACCTTTGCATTCCTTTTCACAGTATGCACGCAGCGTAGCTCATTTACAAATAAAAACTATTCTGCTGTGTTCGTTTTTATTCAGCTGCCAGATTCCTAAAAAAAAAATGCAAATCTAACTTCAGGCACATTAAAGGGCAAGTTCAACCATAGTTGGCCTGATGTTCTACTTGTGATTGTCTCCTTAGCTAAAGTTATTGGACTTCTGGCAGCGTTTCAGTAGCAACAAAATCATGTAATCATGGTTGATTGAAGACTTTGAGTCCCTTTTGCATGACCTCACTAAAACTACTTGTCCAAAAGAAGAAATTTAGCTGCACAGATAAAACAATATTGTATAGTTTTACCCTTTAACAAGTGTTAACAGAGTCAAAACACAAATAGATGTATCACTTCTATAAATGCTTTTGTTGTGTGCATGTGTTGGTCAGAGTCTCTATGGAAGCAGCGTATCCAAGTAGCGCTGTCAAACTAGTGGAAAGTGCCATACCTGCTCTAATCCCTCTCACAAGCTCTGCAGCAGAGAGAACTGATACAGGGTCAGTGTGGTGTCTGCTGATGTGCACACAAACTAAAAATAAATGGCAGGGGGGGAGAATTGTTAGGTCATTATTGTGATGGTGACAATCACAGGGTGAATTCTTGCTTTGACCATTGAAAGGGCAAGTTTTAGTTCCTAATTTTTTCCTTTTTTAGCTCACAGGCTCTTAAAGTAATTGTGAGGAAACCCTGATGCAGGACTTTCTATTTGAGTCTACTAGGGTTCACATGTGCAGTCTGTCCCATTTACGAAAAAAGAGAAACCGGGTTAACAGATGGACTCAAAACAAATGTGGATGTTCTCAACGATTAACTATTTCTATTACTTTTATAGCTGTATATTTCTATTAATAGGGTGCATACACTTTCCAACAAAGAAACATGAATCCCTCTTTTGGAAACTGGAATTTACAGTCAGGACACACACACACACACACACACGGTTATTACTGAACGTTACCAGCTGTTTTTGTGCTTCGTCCCTCGCTCACACAGTTTTTATTCCCACCTGACTCGGGGGGGTGAAATGGTAGCAGTGAAGGCTGTGATAATCCTCTTGTCAGCTGTTACCAGATCTGGCCAACTCCCCGTCTGGCTGTGCATTGCAGGTGATGAAGCCCGCATTCATCACTCCTCACACGCTCACATGTGGACAAACATATGCACACACTCATATTACACTCGACGGACACGATTGTGCTATCTTACGCTCAAGTGAAACAAAGACATTGCATCATGTAGCTTATGTAACTTCAATCAATGTTAACCTTAAAAAAACAACAACTTCTAAACCCAAGAATCAAAAATAAGCCAGTAGTTTGACAGGAAATAAAGTTATATTTCCAGAATTATGCATCCTTAAAGCAAAGTTTTGGGAAGAAACATCCATTACCACAGGCCGTGAAGGTAAAAGAAGCCCAAATACCAAAGTATGTAAATATCAACCTTTTATTGGAGTGTACAATGTAAGAGTTCATTGTTTGTCAAGCCTCACTGATAAGGCCTGGCGTCCATAACATCTTAATAACTGAGTTACCTACAGAAGCTAACATCAGCGAAAACATGGCTAGGTTTTTCCCCAAAAAGTATCTTGATATTTGACAAGAGGTCAGTTCTTACATCAAACAAGTGGCAATTTGTCTCTCAAAGACAGGATTTAAAAGAGGACACCGACATTCCTCTTCTTTTGCAAACAGTCGGGACAAACAAACAAAAGTCAAAAAACATTTAAGTCATGTTGCGTTATTTTTGCCGGATAAGACTGTATTTCTACGTTAGCTCAACTAAAACCCAAAAACATGTGAGCAATTCTAGCATGCTACGTGTTAGCATGTGCATTATTAACATACCTCTTTCTGGAACGCTAATGTTAAATGGTTAGGTCTTTCCACTGAGTGCTACGCAGCTAAATAGAGAGCAAAGTAAGGTAATGTTTTTACAAGATGTTCTTTATTTTAAAAAGGACAAAACTTTTATTTACCCAAACCCGAAAGTGCAGTTAATGATCCCTAATTTACAAAAATGATTGAACAGCTACCGTAGAGCCAACATGGCTGCCATAGAGAACCCCTGAAAGGCCGAGCTTAATCGCTTAAAGGGGAAAAAAAAGGTTAGCAGTTATCAGCTCTGGTAGATGTTAGCAAACTTTCGATTGATATTACTTTATGTCGTTCAGTTTGTGCTACTGTTATAGATTTCAGTATTTTTCCATAATTGTCACTTGTGGCTGCAGTTGCGGTTGTTAAGCAAGTTACAGTAGCTTTAAAAAGAGAGAAACATATCTACTCTCGTTGGTTAGAAAGCAATGTGTAAGTATAGCGTCTCCATGTTAGGTAGCAGTTACAAACAGGTGACTTTATCGGATTTTTACTGTTTTGAGCCACACTGGTTGGGTTTACCACACTGGGACAAGTTATGCCATTGCAGTTGTCTTTTATTAAAAATAAAGAAGCAGATTTTTTTTAATCCTGTTTGTAATTGACTGACAATTTTGCATTTAAATGTTTGTCCTTTGTGACAAACCTACCTTTAAATAAACGCATAGCAAGAATTATTGGGAAATATTTAGTTTAGATAAAATACATGTCGACATCCAACTACTTGGTCTTTGTAGAGAATAATTGACCACTGTTCTTTTTAACAAGTAATTCCTATATTACACCTCATGATTTACTAGTTAGTCAAGAAAATATTGATACTCGTTTGAATAATGCCATGAATCTAGTGTTTCTCCATACACTGTGTCAGTACTTAGTGTCTAAATACAGGAGCAACACTACTTTAGCCCCGCTGTTTCTGTACAGTAACTGAGCATATGGACCCATTATAAGCATCAGGTGTGTAAAACTAAAATGTCTTTATTCCTCAAAGCTTTACACGATCACCTGATTCCAACAAACAGGCATGTTTGAATACTCTGCTTGCTTCTGTAAAAAAAAAAAAAAAAAAAAGATAAAAAGCAAAACACAATTTGAACTGAATCTGTAGTGTGACAGTGACAAAAAAAAAAACTACAATTCACAACAGATAGCCAGCCATACTTGCCGGGGCCATCTTCATGTGTGTACTGCGGTGGGTTAACGGTTTAAAAACGTCCAAGTGTATTTTGCCACATTACTTAAAGCACATGGATGTTCCATAATGATACAGACCTGAAAAATGTCCTGTATTCATGCAGCGAGTCCTCTCTTTCAATCTGTGCAAAAATATAACAAGACTCAAACTCTGGAGCAAATTTACAGTCGACAGCAAAACGAAGCTAAATATTCCAAAAAGAGCCTTTTCCTTTTTTTCTTCTTTGTTTTAAGAAAATATGAGTGCTAAACTAGGATCATTTGAATTCGTAAAAATAAACTAGAGAGCAATAGGGTATGAAAATAGTTAATTTTTTTTTCCTGACGAACAATGACGACATGATTGATGAAGGATTTGTGGAATTTTGTAAGCCCTCCCCCTTCAATCACTGACCAAAAGAAAAGAAAGAAAAAAAACAACATTCAACTCTAAGTTTCAAGAGACAACTTGATGTAAAATTGCACATGTCAATCTGGGGAGTGGGAACACGTGGAGAGCAACACGGAGGGAACGTGTGTGTGATGGGATGATGGGAGGCAGAAAATATGAAGGTTGGCTGACAGGATGGAGCGACAGATAGAGGAGAAGAGTTTGGGGGACGTGGGAGGAGGAGGAGAAAGATGGGTAGAGACGGAGAAAGCCAAACAGCTAAAATGAGACATGTGACATATTGCTATCGAGTGACGGAGATGGAGACCAACAGAGACGGACAGTGACGGAGATGAAGAAACAACAACCTAAGATATGAGAATGACAAACATTTACAGATTAAATGAGGTATTGCACAGATTAATAAAAAAAAAAGCATAAAGGCAACAAAAATATACAGCAAATCGATAGAACATTTACATTTATAATTTTGAAATTAAAGATTTCTTTTTTTAGAAAGACAAGAACAATTTTAGTGTCAGAATCATCCAGGGGTTTTTGGGGGAGGGGACAAAAAAAACAAAACAAAATATCGCTAGTCCTCCCATTCATCTTCATCCTCAAAGTCCTCCTCGTCTTCATCATCATCATCCTCATCTGTGGAAGAGAAGACATTCACATGAAGTCTACTGAAATGATGTTCTAACAGGCAATGAAATAATAAAATACACAACTCTTTATAAAACGTCCTATATCAGAGTAATGAATGAATGAATCTATTTTAGGAACTACTTTCTTTTCCTACACTCAGAGACTTAAAACAGAAAATAAAAAGGAACCGCAAGGTTGTTCGAGACTGATGAGGAAGTGGTCAGAGTCTCATCTATATTTTGCCGACAGTGTGTCATCTGACATGCAGTAAATGACGCAAAGTCTGAGTGACTGGTGTCAAGCAGCTGCTCCATTCTTTTCAAGGTTGAAGAGAAGTAAACTTCTCAGAGCAGAATAACTTGGTCCAAGCCCTCGAATCCACCCAATCCACTGAGTTAGAGTGTAACAAGTTGACAACTCTGTCTGATATCAAGCAACAAGTTCCCAGGAATTCATTGTGAAAATCCTTTGATAGTTTGCTCTTGCTCAGTCATTGAGTCTGTCTCACTTGTCACTATAGCAGCACCTTGCCAGAAGACACTGCATTGCACAGTGCCAAAGCCTGAGCAGGGTTTAACTGTTTTGATGGATAACCCTCTGTATCAGCACTCACTGTGTGCTGCTTTGGACAACAGTCAAATGAATGTAATGTAATTACACTAATAACAGTGTGTAAAACTTCCTGTGGATTTCTACTGTACATGACAGGAAGCAAGAAATAAAAGATAATATTATAAGCTAGTTGAGCAGAAGGGGAATGTTTCTGTGTTTGTAAGTACCCGAAGAGTGAATAGCCTTGCTCCGTTTCTGCATCACCTCCATCAGAGCCCCCACGATGCCTGCCGAGGGTGCCGGGGTGGAAGGAGCTGAATCTGTGTTTTCCTCCCTCTGTAAAGAAGACAGCATGAGAGGCTGCAGATTAATACAGAGTTGACTGGGAGGTGTGTTGTGTGTGACTGATGAATACGGACCGGTTTAAGTTGGATTCCTTGTCGGATTTGGTCCAGGAGCGCGTCTCTGCCGGTGCTGGACACCGGCCTCTCTTTCTGCTCCACCTTCTTCAGCTGGGTGCCCTCTCTGATCTGACTCAGCAGTGCCGACTTCCCAACTGTACCGCCGTCCCCTCCGTTAGCCTCCGTGGGCAGCGGAGGGGCAGGGGGTGGAGGGCCAGGGGGCGGTGGAGGAGGAGGGGGAGGAGGTGGTCCACCAGTACTGGATGGAGTTGAGGATGAGGAAGGAGGAGGCGGCGGGGGAGGCGCCACAGGAATTGAGGCGTGGGCCGGTGGAGGGGGAGGCGGGAGGGAGCCTCGGCTGGGCGGGGGAGGCGGCGGCGGGGCGGACATGCCCGGCCGGGATGGAGGGGGAGGAGGGGGCGCGGAGATGGGAGCTCTGGAGGGGGGAGGAGGCGGCGGGGCACCTCGCCCCCGGGCAGGGGGAGGGGGAGGGGGAGGAGCTGAGCTGTGGTGTGGGGGTGGGGGAGGAGGGCCACCTCTGGATGGAGGGGGTGGAGGAGCTGCAGAGAGAAAAATACAAAAAACTTGAAATTAAAAAAAGAGCAAAGTTGTAATCAGTCAGCTGAAGAACACCCAGATTTGAGGTTTTTAATCTACAGATTACTTTAATGAAGGGGCAGCTAAAAGATCTGGATGGTCACAGAAGATTTCACAGCATCAAAAATGCAATGTGAACTTCAGGTTGCCTGTATCAATGCATCATGCAGGCAGCCTTCTTACATTAACATAAAGTGTTCTTGTCTAAAACTGTGATTATACAGTAATACTGGTCCTCATCTTTTTACCATTTGATAAAAGGTAAATTCTGAAACTGAAAATTTGAATACAAATTTGGAAAACCCCATTTCATGTAAGACGATCTTCGTTTAGATTCTACAAGTGTGGCTTAGTTAAACTAAAAATAATCATTAAAATAAAAAAATTAAAAACGGAGTAATAGTTCATTAATGTCACAATGTAAAAACAAAATGCAAGTCAGTTTCCCAATTCTTGTTGCTTTGTATCAATGCATCATGCAGTTATGTAAACAAGCCACTGGGGGCAGCCTTCTTGCATGTAACTAATGTTAATGTTGTTACTGAAAACTGTGACAGAATATATGCATAGTGTTTACAGTGAGGCGGACAAGAGCTAGAGATTACAAGCTTGGCTACGACGTAAGTTAAATATCAGAAATGAATCATTGCACAATCATTTAATGTAACAGGAGGAAGGATATCTAACAAGATGAAGCAGCCTCGTGTAGGAATTAAACGTTTTTTAACGTCTCCGGTTGTAGTCATGACACTCCAGAATAATAAGCTAACAGCTAATGATAAAAAAAACATCCAACTCAAGTTCAAACAGCACAGCAAAAACACTGAATTAACTTCAGGAACTGCAAAAAACTGCACACACTATAACTGAATTCTTAGGTCATATTACGGTCCAACTTGACATGCACAGTCATGAGCTGTCACAGCAGGTCATGCATAGAAACCTACCACTCCACCTGGGCGGACCTGGGGATAGAACCACCACCACAGTTAGAGTATCTTAAAATCGACCCTTTAAAATGTATTTTGCATCATCAGTGTGCTGCGAAAACACGTGCATAGATCACATTTAACAAGTCATAACAGCATGGTGCAAATACTCTCCACCAAAGCCAGTATATTAACATTTACTGTGGGCGTGAGTCCACCCCATTCACTTTTGCTACTCAATAACAGGTGTTTTTTTTTTTTTTTTTAGGTCAGAAGACAATAAGAACTCCCAACAGTGTATCTGCCTTACCTTGTCTCCGTAGCTCATTTTTGACAGCTTCTACACCTCCTTTCTTCTCGATGAAGTCATAGATGACCTTAGAGGTCTCCTTATCCTTCAGCTGAGCCTCAGAGATGCCACACATATCAAACAGGTTCTTCAGCTCTGGGTCCAAGTTATTCAACTGAAGAGAGAAAACAGGAAGGTAAGACATGCACCTATTTAAACGGTCGAGGATGAACGTTCACACAGTAACAAACAAATTCCTAACCCTGTCCACCTCACTGAGAAACTCAAATCATCATCAACTGATTTTGTATCATTATGGGTTCATTAATTAATTTATGAACAATATCAGCCTCCCGGCCACAGTAAATAAAACATAGCCTGCTGGCTACAACAGAGTGCTGCTCTCATACCTGCTCATGTATAATCTATATAAGATCATAAGCTCTATGTGTTAAGATCGGATGTGTGATTTCACTGGTTTTAATCTGTATTTATGAGCTTTGCAGCTCAGTAACACATTATGTGACATGTTAAGAGTTGAGTTAGGATTAGAAGGGACATTTGAAAAAGCAGGATTACCCAGTTTGACACTGGCTGTCAAAATCTGTTAAAAACATCAACTGGTTCATTCAGGAAAGAGTGAGTATATGAAAAGTAACTTTTCTTTAAATAATTTGTGATGTTACACAAAGAAGATATTCATCTGAGTAAGCTCAAAATGTGACCACAATTACAGCCATTATACTGCCACCTTGTGGTAAAAACAGGGCATTAATTTATATTCATTTATTAGAGTTCTTCTGTTTTCCATACTGTGTTCTGTTGCCAGCAGAAAGAGCAAGCCACAAAATACAAAGTATACTGTTGATTTAATTATGTAATTACGTCCTGTTAATAGGTTAATTGATAAATACTTACGTCTACTTATGGCTCAATACCACTTTTTAATTCTGATACCGATGCTGCAACCTTTAGTATCTGCCAATATTGATTTTTTAGCCTCTCATATACAACTAAGCTGTTAATAATACATTTGTATGGATGCACTGAACGGACAGATCCTGATTATTGTATTATACATATGAATTTATGAATTCAGGTTGACCACAGCTACTGCCGAGTAAAGAAAACTATGAACTTTTGAAAGTGTTTTTGGGGTAGATTACAACTTCAAGGTGGGATCTCTATGCATTACTTTATCTACATTATCTGTGGTGGTAAGGATAGAAAAGAAAAGAGACAAATTTAGCTAGTAAGGCTATAAGATATATTCCTTTCCTCATTTGTGGTGGAGCTTTAAATCAGAGGTTCAGAGAGGTGAGCGAGCTTTGTTCGACTGACGTCACCCATACAAATCAATCTAAGTCCTTGAAAGCATTAACTTATGAAACCAAATCATCTAAATTTCATCTTTTTTCATTTACAGACAGAGCTAAGTCGTCTGACCTGCATGATCTCATACTCATCATCCAGCATCCAGCATAATTACTGATGACGCTTTTTTGGGAATGAGTCCATGGATTATGCAGATGCAGGTTGATTCTCTTCCCTCCAAAATCTCCTTGTGTAACCCTCCTGATGACTTGGCAGCGCAGCTCGGCTTAATATTTTGGAGCCGATATTAAATTTGAGAAATCTGTCTGGAAGAGGGATGTTTGACTGACAAACAGATAAACTGCGGGCCAAGTTTTAAGAACATTTAGAGGTCATGTACTCCAAAGCATGTGCAGAGATGCACGTTGACATTACATTCTTGTGTTGTACTTACATCAAAGCCTGTGTTTGGATCCCATCCTACATGCCCAATGTGCCTGTGAGAGAGGCAAAAGAGAGAGAACATGTGAGATATGTACAGTACAAACCCTCGCCACCCAGAAAAAGAAGAGACATACAAGCAGAGGTGGATTAAACTGCTGCAAAATTCATGATGACCTGACCCTTTTTTTTTTTTAAATCGAGATGGCCCCATGGTAACCTGCTCTATCTCATTAAAGATTATTAAAGCTGCCACTGGCTATTCCTGAAAGCACAGCTCAGATTTTTCCTGTATTACCAATCATACTACACACTGTATATGATTGGATTCTGAATGAAGACGGCAGGATTAATGCCCCGCCCAGATTCACCAGCACTTATAGGGGCCAGAGGGATATGGGACTCTGGGCCAGAGGGATATGGGACTCTGGGCCAATGTGTCATGTGCGAAACATGTTTACAATAAACCTAGAGTCACATAGATATCTCGAAGTAAGAATCACGCCCACTGAGTTATGGCTACATCATTTTTATCATCTAGCGCAGAATGCCGTCAAATTGACATGCACTTTTTGGGTTATGGCACATTACGCAACATGGTATGTCAAAAAGTCAATGTCGTGTGATGGACAAATGGTGAGAGGCGTTTAGGTACAAAGGGAACCTGAAGTTCAAAGAATGTTTATCCACCACCTGAGCTGAACCCAGCCCTGCTGTGCTCCCTGGACTCACTGGAAGTTGCTCGGTGTGCCGATGTCCGCCTTGGTTAACCGCTTCTTCTTCCCCTTGGTCTTCTTCTCCTTCTTGGGGAAGGAGGAGTGGACAATGTTGTTCACCTGAGAGTTGTTATGGTAACGTTGTACATTGCTGATCTCTGGGTTTTTGATGTCCACGGTAGCCATGGGCAACGTTGGGCCTTAAAAATGAGACAAAGTAAAGTTATGGTTTATATAATACAGCACGTGGAATGAATAGAGAACAGTTAAAGACATATACTCCATTTTACATCAAAAGTACTGAAATAATTGTAACAATGATGACATGTTTACTGTTTCATAAAAAAAAAAAAAAGTGGGTTGAGTTGTTGGCTCCAAGTTGAAATTCAAGGGACAGCAGCATTCTTTCAATTAAATAATATTATTTATTCTATATATATATATTAATTAATAATGGCTATTACAAACTGTTTTGGCACAGAAAGGTCAGGCGAAGTTTATTTGGGTTTGTGGGTGTGAAAACAGCTCGTGGGAACTAAATGACAGACTGAAAACTGATCAAACAAACATTATCACCAAAGCATACAATGTCTTTGAGATATAGAGGTTTAAAATCGGTTGGTAAACTTGTTCTGTCAGTTAGGTGACAAATGAATGAATGAATTCTGAGCTCTTATGTATTCAAGGAAGTTCACTTTTGCCAGCTATGTAATTTGATGCTCTTTATTTACTTAACCTTCATTTCACGAGGGACGCCCTAATGACATGTTAATCTCAATGAGGCCTGATCATGACAGGCAGAAATAACAATGAGTTACCAAACTAACAACACAGAATAACACAAAAGATCTCTGGCAGGATAAACATACATGACACTCCATTTAAACTGCAATAAATGAGAACAGTCTTTGTTTATACGTCAATGTTAAGAATAGTTTAGAGGACTTTCTTTTGGACTGGACACAAGCGATCCAGACATGTGACACATGTCGTCAACAATACACGGCTAACCAACAGCAACTCCATCATACACACTCAACATGGATTTCAACAATGTGCCTCAGCTGTAGCACATACCTTTAACACTCTCACTACATGGACTTTTGGGAGTTTTGCTGGGCGAAGGCGAGGCGGACCGACAGCGCCGCCTTCTCACCCTGTCCCAAATGCACCCACTGTCTCTTGCTCTGCAGGTGGTCATGCTGACGTCGAGAAGCATTTTGCCAACCAACTTGTGCGCTCGCTCTTTGGGGCAGACGGAGAGCTGAGCGGTCGGGTCGGAGAGAGGTGGGTACAGTTCGTCCTGGGGGAGAACCAGGCAGTGTAAAGATGACAGGCAACTCCCTGGGCTCAGACCTCCACCTCCTACTGCTCCTCCTCCTCCACTGCCCTCACAATTGAGGTCCTCAGAGGGAGCAGACAGGAAGGTGGTGCAGAACATCATTGTAGGAGCTGACTGGGCATGAGCAATATGGCTCGAGATGGACACACCAAGGAAGACCCTGGTTCAAATAAATGAATTTGAACGTAGATTGGTGGTTCAGAAACAGCCACGTTCTGAGGTCCTCGTTCTCAGTCAAGAAAGAAATCTCAAATCACCCCCAAGAGGGAAAGAATGCTTCCCAAAAAGGACAACTTCCTCTTCAACCCGACTCTGTAGGCAGGTACAAAGCAAAATCCATTTGTTGTGTTGTTTCAGAACTGATTCCAGTCTTCTTAGGTGAAAGGTTTTCTCTTGACTGAAACCTGAAAGCCAAGATGATCCCGAAGGTTTTCAAAACACGACCAAAACACCAGCACACACAATAAGCCAAATTGTGACGGACTTGATGCAACAGTCTGCATTTACGGAATTAATATCCTCGTCAGACATCTGGTGGAGTTTACACGCATACTGTCTGAGCTGTGAAGGCAGGCGTCCAGCGATGCCATCAGAAGGGAAAAGAGCTCGCCAACACTTCGCCAGCCAACAGCCAAAGTTTACTCGTCCTCTTGCATTCCTTCCATCACAGCAACCGTTTTCTTTTATGCAAATTGTTCACAATTCCCTGCTTTATCTGTGTGTCTAAGCTCTGCATATTTTCTATCCATCTTGGAATCATCTTCTATTCCCTTGACTTTCCATCTCAGCAGGGCACACTGTTAAGATTATCATGCTCGGATTGGCTCGCTGTGATCGTTTTCTCCACCCACCTCCACTACCGTCTCCTCCCTCTCTCTGCAAAACACACAAATGCATCTAATCCCAGCAAATCATTCTGGATTTAGTGCTGACTTTTACGTAACCATTAAAACCCTACCGTGCATAATCCCACGTTAATCTCAGCGGTTTCTACGACATGATGAATCCGCGGGTGGGACAAAAAGGCGAGAAAGGAAGAGCAACTGAGGCAGACGGAGAAAAGAGGAAAATGAAGTCATTAAATGAAGAGCAGAGGGCAGATGATGGCCAAATGATGAGGAGGGGAGAGCTGGAAAGGGCAGCAGGAGGAAAAAGGGCAGAATATAAGGACAACAAGAGCCAGACTGGAGATGACAGAGAGTAACAGAGCTATGATGTGGTAATCTTAAGTGAGAGTGAGACAGATGGAGATGGAGAGGAGATGTTCCTGTGGGAGGACAAGTATGACTTCCTTTGGAAATGAACCAATTCCCACACAAAATGTTCTTATTCAGGAATCTTGCATGACAAAGTAGAAACTGGTATAAGCGTTCATGCATGGCAGGTAAACGGAACACCTTTCTTTTAGAAAACACTTCAAAGGAAATCAACCATTAACCCCAAAATGGTTCACTGTATATCGCAGAGTTACATGGTCTTTTAGACACGTCAGGTACGACCATATATGGCATCTGGGAGCATGTGACCCAAAGCAAAGCATCCACATGCCCGGTGCCGTTAAGCTGCTCTGAATACGAGCATCAGCTAAAAGCGTAAATGTGTCATCTGTGTGCTGATGACCTCTGCACGGCTGCATGCACACACACACACAGATTATTAATAAGCCAGCTGCGTCAAATCATGCTGTGTGTCGGTCCAAAACTGGCTCCCTCCTGTGTGTAAAACTAGGCTATGTGTCTAATGCCGTATGTCCAAAAACAAAAGTGTGCATATCCACAAATCTGTTTAGTCATCAGACCACACTGAGTCGTCAGACCGTGAAGGGTACGTAGTTCACAGATCAAAACTCCGCTGCAGGGCGCTGTAATACTATGTCAGACTGAATGTAATCGTACTGTAATGGTATTGTGATCACAGACTTTCTTTTCCTTTGGATTCTTACCCAGTTTCACTCATTATTATACAAAACAAAACCAGCCTGCATTAGTGGACAATGTGTATAAAGCTGTTTGTGTTTACAACCGGACAACTTGTTTTTCCTGTTGTTTTAAGCTCTTATCTTATCTTATAGAAACACACTGCACTAAAGGAGGAAAGTACAATGGAGGATAGGAAGTAGAGCAGACAATAACAGTGTCCTATTCCTACACTACATAGTACTTCCATTATAGTACAGTACAGAGCATACTTCCTAATACATATCAATCAAGCATTTTATAATGCCTCTGCTGATTTAACTAAAGAATAAATTGTTCGTTTGTTACGAACTCTATTAACTTTGAGCTTTGCATTGTGGGACAACAGTGTGTGTATCAACAGCACAATAAAAGAGTGTTTTTATACTGAAAACCTGCTTAGTAAAGTATGTTGTAAGCAAATTAGACACAGATGATGATGTCTTACCAGACAATGTGAATACATACAGCTGATGATTTAGTTGATAATAGGTATAATTTAACTAATCTCTAGTTATATAGTCAGTCTTTGTGGTGTTCAATTTATTCTTCCTACAGAGAATATGAAATCCTATGAATGCTATATAGTTTCCACAATGTTAGGGACAGGATATACAGTCTTGAGTTGTCTGAATGATCCTGAAACTCCACCCATCTGACATACCAAACAGGATACCATCAGATACAGCTCTGACTCGGGCTTTACACGTCTCTTCTGTTTATTTCTGAAGTTACTGACAGGAAAAACACTGGAAAACATACCATTCAGAGGGTCGCGTCTCTTCTCTGTGAACACACAGACAAATGAAATCGTTACAATCCTGCGCTGAGTAGTTGGGCTGTGGTTAGTGAGAAGCGAACGTGTGAGTGCGTCAGAGCGCAGAGAAGAGAGTTTATTGGTTTTTAAGAACAGGGCTCGGCGGGATTGTGCATGTGGCTGCGCAGAATGGAAAGTTATTTGGAAAAATTGCCAAGAAAAGTGTCTTGTTAGTGTGTTTAGGAGATGTAAATGACACATCCTTGTACACACACACACAGAGCTAATATTATATCCATATTAAATATAAAGGACAATACACGTCTCTTTCTCTCTCATATAACACTACCAAGAATATAAACACAAATCACACACACACACACACACACACACACACACACACACACACACACACACACACACACACACACACACACACACACACACACACACACACACACACACACACACACACACAAAATACTGATGGCTTTAGTTTCCCAATGGCTGAAAGTCAAACAGAAGAAGGCTTGAGGATAAGATTAGGCACCCAATGCAGTGGGCTGAAGGGGAAAAGATGAAAGGACAATCCATTTGAAGGGTCAGGAAATGACCCACAGAAGAGGAAGAAGGAAGACGGACGGTCTTAATCAAGCAAGTGATGAGAAGAGTTAAGGACTGAGTGCCAGTAAGAAGTTTATGGATATGGGCTGTGCGGCTTTGCATAAACAATGTGTTTTAGATTTATTCCTCAGTCTGCGATTCTGTTCGGGTGAACACAAACATTCACAGCTCATTTCCTTAGATAAATAAGACAAGACATAATGCACGGCAACATTTTGTATAATTGCAGTTTTTCCGAGGACTTTTGAAGTCCCAAAGTCTAATTGTTGGTGGTGGATTGAAACCATGTAAATGTTAAGTAAGTATTTTAAAGAAAAATATTTTTTTTGAGTGCTGTCTATGTATCATTTTAATGAACATTTTAAGGAAAAATGGTAACACATGTCCCATTATTCAAATATCATAACTCTGTAATGTTATGAGGGATGAAGCCCTTTCTTTTTCTCATTTTAACCTGAAACTGCAGTGCCCCCTTTGGGCCACTCTGCATATCTGTTCAAACCTCTGAACGGACTGTAGTGATGTATCCACGAGGTTTTGCTAAAAAAAAATAATCTGGTTGTGTGAAATAAACAAAGGAAAAACTAATCCAGAGTGGTCTCCTAGACTGTAAGCAGTTTCTGTGACAGAACAAACTGCCAGCAACTATCTGAAAGGTTTTCTTAGAGAATCAAAAACGGAGAGATGTTTTTGAAAGATAACTTTGAATAGTGAACAGATAGACTGGATTATTATATGACCTGTCATTGTGAGGCAGAAATGCAATTTGACTGCTTGCAGACTGTAAGCTTGTGATATGTGTTATCAAAGGAAGAGATTGCAGTGGTTCAGAAGAAGAGGATCAGATGGTAAAGTAAACAGACCCAGGCAAAAAAAATCTGTAACTGCTATCAGTACATGAAGCTATGGTGAGGGACTGGTACTGGAAAGACAGCTGGAATACATTGTTGAATGAGTCTAGTGCCTATCAATTTTTTGGTCCATGTATTGAAATTTAGACCTTTTTTTTGCCCAGTTCTGTATGGTCGAGCACTGTAAAAAATGACAAGTTTAAAAATCTATTTGATCTTGTGCTCACACTAGTCAAGCCATGTCAGATAATATTGTTATTGCACCTTTTAAACTGACACACAAACTACAGTAAAGACAGAATGTCTTCCGACTTGCTATATTCATTATTTTGAAAGCTTTCTGCATCCCTGTAGTAGCACGATTTGACTTGAAACAAACTTAAAAAGCTGGAAAATGTTGAACACAAGATCAAAACTTGCTAAACATGTCATTTTTTTCAATAAGTCAGGATCAGTAGGGAGGTCTGTAGGTAAGTCGTCAGCAGCAGCAAGTCGGTACCAGTTTTTCTCTGTCTTCTCCCAATTAGCTCTCCCACATGACCACGGAAACGTTTGGTCTCCTCCTCACTGGCAAAGTTTAGACCCACTTGGCATGTCTGTAAACACACACACACAAATACACAAAAGAAATGTGTAAAAATGTGATAAAAATACATTTGTAAAGTGCCAACTAGCTATGCTCAATGATGTGTGTGCAGTGATCAGTCCCGGCCTTATCACCAGAATCAGCAGTCCCACATACCTCATGGTCTGCTGGAGACTGAGCCACTGTACCAACCAGCCACAAATAAAGGGCATCTTGTCACATCAAATGCTTCGGATGTGATATAAAGCTTGTGAAACAGGTGACTGTACAAGTGACAGAATATTTTTTGCACCACTATCATAGAAGAGTCCTTGAGGAAGTAATAAAGCAGTGACTAAGTGTCTTAATTAAATTGTCTTCGAGGACATGGGTGGCCCTTTTCAATGACTCAAATGGAATAATATAAATAATAAATTTTGTAAACATGCTGATTGCATGAGACGCAGAAACTGGGGTTTATTTGTGTGCTGACCTAGAATACAGAGGATGAGAAATAAAAAGAGAAAATGTGAAAAAAAGAAAAAGGCTGTCAGGAAATAAACTCACATCTCCAGCAAATGTGATGAAGTAAGGTTTAGGGAGGTAGATGTTGAAGTTGCTGTACAGCTCCTGTTCGAACATCATCTTACCGTCCTGTGGGAAAACACAAAGACGGTTAATGCCGTAGGACATCCCACAGACCCCACTATAAAAATAAGCTCTTCATTGCACCACCACTGGATATTAATTGTGGTGGGCACCATCATCTGCCGCTGCACTCGTGAACCGCAATGATGCGATTTACTCACCCTAATGTCAACGACCCTGATGAAGTAGGATCGTTGGGGATTGTCTTTGACCAGACAGGCCACCCCGCAGCATCTCTTGTTCCAGCTGGAGTTCCTGTCTGCTGTGAACACCTGGACCACTGCTGAAGACAATGTCTGGACGGAGGCAGAGAGAGAGAGGGAGATAGGAGAGTCACACTTACTCTGTGTTTCTTAATGGATTCAACATTAGCAGTGGGTTTTTAGTAGCCATGTTAATGTATCTCACAGGGGTTTTAAGCGAGCAAGTTGGAAATAAAATAAAATGCATACAGTGCAGACAGAAGATAAACTGACTGATTCCTATAAACCTAATTACTATGATCAACAACATCCATAAAGCCTGTGTCATCTACGACCTGCGATAGAGGAGATACAGCAGCCGCATTGTGTCAGTCTGTGTGTACAGTACAGCACTGACTCCACCAAGGCTAAAAATAAAAGACCACAGCAGCCTCAAAATTTGGAAACTAATTTAGGAATTAATTTATGGATTCTTAGTGCTATCTCTCCAAACCAAATCTTTAAGGATGTTCCAAATGGTAAAATGGCTCTTGGAGGAGCAAATAACCAAGAAGGCTTCCAGAGTGAAGTGCATGCTATGCACATCTGGCAAAATTTGGATATATTGTACATTCTTTCAGACCAAGCACGCCTTATAAATCTACCTCATGGCCTATTTTCGGCCCGTCTGCGAGCAAAAAATGGGTTTGGTAACAACATAACTCGAAACCCAACATCTTCTCCAGAAACTGGACCCATCATGCACCTAACAACATTCCTGCCATAACAAATGACATTTGCAGCAACATGCTGTGGGCCTTCCAGCTACAGGCACTGTGAGATATGCAAGGATAAGAGGAAACAATGAGGGGAGATCAATAAAAGGGTGCAGTTTTCTGGCACAGTTGGAACAAGATGTTGACACAGAACAAGAATGGTTACATCCTTGAGTTGCCCTGACCTGAATATCAAAAGAAATCTGTGGAATGATCTAAATTCAGCTGTTCACACATGTTCTTCCAACTAATCTGCCTGAGCTTGAGTCAGTCTTCTGTATTAGTCTGTGCTATGTAATGTTAAGTGTTTGATGGGCAGCATGGAAGTATAATGACATTACCACAGACTGGGTGACAGTGACTCTGTGGGGGTCATTTCTCTCTACCCTGCAGTTGTCAGAAAAGGGTACGTCAATACCAAACACCTGACAAGCACCACAGCAATAATATCACTGTAGGAACACAGAATTGTAACATTTTAAAGAGACCTTCTATCTTATTTGACACTGGTGGCAGCTAAGTGTGCACAGAGGATACATAAAACCCTTTACCTGTGGATGCAAGCTTGGTTTACTCAGGTTATGTATTAAGAACACTGCAGACATTTGAGCATCTCCTAAAGTCTAAAATCCCAGAAGGATCCACGCTATATTAAGACTGAGCCCACACAGTGCTTGGCTTAATGACTACACATGATAAAATTAAGCATATGAGACATCTCAACACTCTCCTGCAGCATCTTCCGTGCTGCGTACCAATATTTAAGCACATACCAAGTCATTAAAGTCACATAAACACTGACACTTTTCACCCGGGTCACAACTGTCTTTGGGAATTCTCTTGTAAATTACAATGTGTATGTGTGTTTGCCCCACATCTGACCTATATTTGAAGAGAAAGTTTGAGACTCTGCTTTAAAACGTTACATTACCAGTGAGACACATTTAGGTTCTTGCTGAGGAAGCAGCGGGGTTAAAAAGGCGAAGACAGGCCGCGGCAGACTAAACTGCATAATGATGTGCACATCCACACAGGAGGAGCCCACCTGCAGCGCGCACACACGCAGACACATCCATGATCATAAGACCAGATGAGACGCCCACAGGTTTTACAGGTTGCTGCAGGGATTTTCTCACACTGAGGGGTCCAGGTTTACACTCATTATCCACACAGATGAAAGCCAGAGCATCACTGAGGGAAATGCCTGGTGATCTTTGGGAGCTCTTCAGCTCAGTAGTTCCAGGAATCATTGCACACTTCAAGACAACATACAGAGCCCTTGTGTCGCTCTTTGTAATTTAGTGTTGAGTGAATATGAAGCAGAGGCAGAAAGGGAATATTAAAAATG